CTCATTACATAACACATTACTTTACATGAACATAGTCGTCAAATATTCCACATTGCATCTTTGTTGTTTCAACGGCAGCAAGGAAGACTCCCAAATTTTAGCAGTTTCAAGCCAGCCAGATTCATAATTATAGCAGTGTTGCTCTTCTATTTTAAAGCATATGGCCAGTTTTTGCAAATGCAGAAATTATCAGGCAATAAGAGAAAACAAGAGTTCGGTAAATTGACTGGTGAGCATTCTGCGCATAAGGCTACATGGACACAAACATGTAAGGTAGGACCATGCTAAATTAAATCACAACGTTTCGGGCGCAACACAAGCATCCTTCTTCAGGTGGGAACAACGTAGTTGCGCCCGAAACGTCGTGATTTAATTTAGTTTTCAATTATTTTATTTTTTACCTACATGACTTTACCGAAAAAACCAAAGAGTATGAATCCTTGCAGTTACGAACACTTAAAATCTAGAATTAGGACCATGCTGTCTACCTGCATTCCAGCTGTGTAACAGATTTCACAAATAAAATGCATACTACATAAATACCCTGCTCTTAGTGTAAAAACAGTTCACGACCATCTCTTAAAGTAGGAATACCACATGAAGGGGTTGCAAGTCAAGACCACGTGCCTGGCCACACGGTATCTCCAGTTCTGATGCTGACATAATTTTAGGCTGAGTTTATATAGGAAAGGCTCAAGTCAGCATTAGATATAAAGTGCCACTGTCGGGCATGGTCTAGAAATTAATATGGGCGACTGGGAATTTACAGAAGCGTGCTAATCACCATGGCATGAGCACGACACATACTTAGCCTGACTGACCTTGAGGGCAAGTGCTTTAGAGCACCTATTCGGACTGGCACAGCAAATTATAAAGTAGTGTATCAGCACAACACCTAGTGTTGATGTTCACATACTGGATAATGTGCTAATCTGAGGTTGAGGCGAACGTTTGAGAGATTCGACACAAATTCAGATAGTCATCCCTCGTTACACAGCAACTCAATAATCGGAATTTCGCCATAACGTAACGTATAAATTCGGGAACAATTTTGATCTACGTTTAATTTGCATTTATGGAATTTTTAATCTCTAAACTCAATTTTTTGGGGGGGGGGGGCAGGGAAACAAAAAAATCCACAGTCTGTCATTCATCCTAGCGGGCATTTCAAGCGGCTCCAGGTCGTTTGTGAGGTGCACTGTTCACACTGTATTGGTTTCTAGCGCTCTTCGTGCCGTCGTCCAAGCTCGACTTTGTGTCAATCACGCCTCGTGCCGTACTGTGCAGGGTTTGTCCCCCTTTTCAACGTTTGTCAGTAAAAGTCAAGACGTCTGGAAAGAGGCCATTAAGTGCAAGTGATAGCAAAAGTGCATAAAGAGTACGGTCCAGTATTTTTATTTCACAAGTTATTTTGAATATTATTATGAAGATTTTATAACATTATTAATATAAACGTGCTTATAAAAATGTTTCCTGCATTCTTAATTGTCATTTTGTTAGGTCTTTGGGCCGAAGTTTGTTACGGAGGAATGCATCTCCAATTTAATAATGGATATCAATGGGAAAATAGGGTTCGATAAACGGAATTTCGCTTTACGGACAACTTTTCAGGAATGTACCAGTTCCAGAGGGATGTCTGTACAAATTTCCAATGCAATGCTTAACCTGGAATAGCAACACAATGCTCCCATCAGTACTCACCCAAATTTATGTTCTTAAATGTAAATGTATGCCATTATTTGCTTACACTTCAATGACTCAACGTCAAGTTTATTTTGTTTAACCAGGTGAGAACTCAAGTCCCATTTGCAAGTGGCCTGGGTAACCAAAATGACAAAAAGCAAAACAAATAAAGTACAGCAATGAAGCAAATAGAATCCATAACACAAAGTGACACATGAGAATTAAAAAATATTGCACAAACATTGATTAATGCACATAGCGGTCGATGGCAAACTACTTTCTTGAGCTGTGCAGGTCAGCGGTTGTATATCAAAGTCTTGTGTCAATACTTCGTTATATATTCATGAGCAGCTTTGCTAAAATGTTGTGCTTAAAAACCTAGCCATCTCCAACATTTTACATGTAATGGAATGAGGAAATAATGAGAAACTACTTAAACATGCATATAATTGTTTCCATCAACATTCAAATATTAAGTTTCTTAAAATCGGTCAACAATTGTGCCAAGCTGGCACGGGACACAATACTGACCGCAATTCCATGCAAGGGCTCAGGCTCAATTCCTGCTTGCAAAGTCCACATTTACAACTCACTGGAAGTTACAAGGGTCCTTCCAAAGTCAGCTATGGGATTCTTGCCTTTATAGTGCTTAAGTCAAAAGTCAAAGACTCTTTCTGCCGCTAAAACAAGTGTGGGGCAGAGTTTGTGAAAATTCTATATTCATGTCGGGGAGCAATCTCCTCATTGGACCACCACCGTTAACTTCTCAGAAAGAGGGGTTGGCATCTTCCCCCCCACACACCTCTTCCTGATGCTGAGGGGCATGAGTGTGATTAAGGAATATGGCTTATGCAGCTGCGATGGCTGTGTTGCTTACACAGTCGAAACCTCCCCCCGGCAGATAAAGAAGATATTCCAGCTGGCTATGACAGAATGGTAAGCCCATTCACTGTAACGTTTTCCAGCATCCCATGGCCAAGAATGAGGAAGCTTACTGCAGGCTTTGCCTGGGAGGTTTGGAAAGCCGTTCTGCACTACAATGATGAACGGTGGTCTTGAGTTGTTGAGGTGGAAACTGCCTTGGCAGCCACCATTTGTAGTACCACACCAATCACAAACCGTAAGGGAAAGAATGGTGACCCAATATCTGAGCCACAAGATCAGGTCTGCAGATTTGCTGAGCATTTCTGCGAGGTCTTGGGGGAGGGAAAACCTTTCATCAACTCAAACCAACATTATTGGGCAAGGGAGGCCTGACCTACAAACATTGCAAAACCTCAAAGGTTGGAAAAAGTAGCCACCTCCTATACGCAGCTCTCTGTTGAGCAATCTGCCGAGGGTGTGCAAAAAGCAAACTGGAACCTGCGATCAAGTAAAGCACTGGGCAAGGATTACGTCCCAAGTGAATTGTGGCAATTTTTTGCAGGCTACCCTATATGACATAATTAACGGGTTGGCCCACCACTGAACATGTTCTGCATGCTTGAATATATATCCTGGTGTTCTCTCTTTCTAAGAATGTGGCATCTCCCTCCTTGGCATGCCAAGAAAAATCTTGACAAGGACTATTCAACACCATCTTGTTAGAGGATTGGTAATTATGGTATTGGAGTGATGGATGAGAAAAAAAGTCGACTAAACTTCAAAACCAGCACGGACATGTTAGAGCCCAAATGGAGACATTTTTAATTACATTTATCGGAGTCTCATAGACAACCACCCAATTGTCAGATATCAAGAAAGCCAACACATGAAGTGATGTTGTTGCATCAGTGGTGGAAGTTCCAAATTCATTCTTGATTTGAAGCTTTCGCGACTGCAGGAATCCATACTCTTTGGTTCTTTCGGTAAGGTCACATAGGCATAAAAAAATAATTAAATTAAATCACGTTTCGAGCCCAACACAAGCATCCGTCATCAGGTGATGATGACGGACGCTTGTGTTGCGCCCGAAACGTCACCCGAAAACGTCGTGATCAGGTGATGATGACGGACGCTTGTGTTGCGCCCGAAACGTCGTGATTTATTTTATTTTATTACCGACGTGACTTTACCGAAAGTTCCAAATTCATGTTTGAGGCTAAACTCTACACTCGATAATCAGTCGTTTTTTTATTTACCACAGAAGGAAGATTGCCCGAGTCAACCAGCAATAGGGGATTTAAACTCGAGGTCTTCCAACTGTCAGTGCAGCACTTTAATCACAGCAGCACCAAGGTAGATTGTTTTCAGGTTCTGTGGGAAATAAGGAAGTAAAGCAGTAAAGTGTACTGTCATGTCATGTGGGTGACCATCCTCCATGTGCACTAAGTTAGAATGTGAGTTTCGATTAGACAACAACATTTCGTAGAAAGTCATTGTCCACCACCGAATTACAAAAGCAACTTTCCTAAGCAGTATCATTTTTCAAAGATAATTTACTCTATGTTAATGTAGAACACAGTAATACGTTTACAACTTATTGGCACCAGTTTAGTGAGTTGACAGATAGCGTTAGTTCTATAAAACCCTTCACCACTCCCAGGACAGCAAGTTATTTTGATATCCTCCATTTTATGAATATTTATTATTTAAAAAAAACATCTAAAATATATTCCAAATGTATTCTTGGCATTACACCATTGAATAAAAAAATTAAATTTGAAGTCTTGCAGAGAAATGCATCCCTCTCTGGAGAACACACGTCATGTTTGTGAAGGAACTTCAATACATGATATTTCCATATTGGATAGCATACCCCTTACATATCCTTAAATAGTGTTGTTAAAAAAGAAAATCACTCACAACTGAAATATATACCAAAAGCAATAAAAACAAACATAAATAGTATTGTTTGTGTAGGCATTGGTGACCAAGCCGAGAACATTCCATAGACTTGTAGAAAAATGAACAATTCTCACCTGAAATGTGTGATTGGTGGCGCTAATCTCCAATGGCTACCCCGAGTCAATGATGAAAACTGCACATTTCCAATGCAGGGGCTAGTAACCCTATATAGAAAAGCCACAGTTTAATTTTCCCAAATCGTAACCGATTTTATTGACTTTGGAATAAAGATGTTCAACTACCAATGGGGTTTTCAACTACCTAACTTCAATTATGAGCCAACTAACAAACAATGCCACCCAGCCAGGTTAGACTTGACCACTGAGATTAAATCACAGATGACCCATATTCAAACCAATGATCGAACAGTGCTGGGTCTGTGCTTTAACACAAACATTATGCATCCCATAAGCCACCCAGCCAAACACTTTATATTCACAATTGGGAGTCACTGAATTTACCCAGGCACGGACAGTGGGTGAGATTCTCACCTGGGTCGTTGGCCTCGCGCTCCAGGACACGTAGCTCAGCACTCTCCGACAGCGAATGATCCAGGCAGAGCTGCAGGAAGCGTGCCTGGGTGCGGCTCACGCGCTTGAGAAGTGCTAGCAGGGCCACCGTCTGCTCGCACTCGTTCCAGCCCTTGAACCATCCCGAGAGGACGCCCACCTGGTCGCGAAACATAGTGCCGCCGCCGCCTGCCAGCATGGCCCCCCGCCGCTCCCCGGCGCTGGTGGCAAGATCGACCTGGGCGGGCGTGCACCTCACCGTGGCGTCATTGGCTGATCTCCTCTTCATGAGGGGATGCACACAAAGTTGGCCACACGGCAGCTGCAAGTGGACATAGGGCTCTCCGCCAGGTGAATTTCACTCGATTTAGCCGTCAAAGCAGGTAACGTCACGATGGAGCAATAGCCGACAGTTGGCGTCATTCATTAAATGGTCGTGGAGGATCGAGGCCCTGAAGCTAAAAACGACCCGAGGACACGTTGTCACCTGACGTTCACTAAACCACTTATGGTGTTTGCTTCAGCAGCCAAGCAGGGTTTTCCACCTCCCCCGGACATTTACGGATCACGACTATTAAAGGCATCGCACGAAGCAGCGTCACCACGATCACGCCAAGAATATCTTCACTGTTGACTCGTGGTGACAGCAGTACTATTTTGTTTAACACTTCTTAGAAATCAAGCTCGCTTATCTGAATTATGCACCTCAAAACCTTACCAATTTCAGCAGAATGGGAATATATCAAGTGAATCGTGATCTCGTAATTCTATTTCCTCCTGACGTATTTTTTTGCGACTTTTGGAGTCAGGTCTTGCCTTGCGGTTCTGTGCACTCTGCACTCAGCTGTGTTTGCAGGAGTCAGGTCTTGCCTTGCAATGCTTGTGCTCTATCTTGGCTAACTTCACTGCCCCAAATCCTCGTCTCCGTTGACCTCCTGCACACCCATGCCTCCGGGGCTCTGTGTGTAACAAAACCACACAAACGTAGAGCTCAGTGTTGTATTTTTAGTCCTCATCTCATCCCACAAGAGGTGGAAATTCAGACCAAGAATTTGAGCTTTGTACAGTACTGATTATTTTGTCTGTACCCAAATGGTATTGTTTGATTGCAATATACAGTGGCCCGTTAAAGTATTAAAAAATGACAGGATTTTGTGCAGGCAATCATTTATTTTGTTTATTTATTGTGGTGCGAATGTACTTTATTCGCCAGGGTAGCATGTCTCAACACATATCACTTTTACTAATCGCAGTGTGAACGTGTGTTGTGACTGGAGCAATATGACCTTTGGTAGTTTATTCGTATATTTGACTGGACAAGCTGAAATTCAAATAGCATTCATACAGCATGACAATACAATTGCTCTATCGATGACCTGTGCAATCGGGTAATTATAAGGGTAGCATGAAGGTAAGTATGCTGCAAACATTATTTTAACCATGTAAAAGAAATGCAGTCTTTGCGGGATAAGAAAAAAGGTTAGAAATGCAGATAGCAAAAAAAGTTTACAGAGAATGATAATGACTAAGAATATGTATTCGTGTATTTTAATACAAGTATAATACTGCAAAACTACTGCAATGCAAAATAAGTACGTATTATATGTATGAATACAAAATAAAAGGCTGAAAACAGTATATAGTGTTATTTCTACCAATTCAGTATAACATTACGATGGAGTAATCACGTTAACTGCGTAAACGATATTATCAGTTATAAAACGAAACACATTGCAGTACTGTAATTATAAGACTATCATAAGCATGGCAAGAGAACACAGCCTTGTGTTAAATATATAACAAAGTACAGAGTGGCACTATAGTAGGCAGTGCATTGCGGTACTTGTACTGTTGTAATAAAACAAATCATACAATTTAACTGTAAGTAGAACAGGCAACACAGTGAATGTATACACAAAAATAGTATGCATCATAATAAGAAAACTACTGCAATATAGTAACCACGCTGAAAAAGACGTGTTCACCAGAGGGCAGCAAGATCCATTGTTGTACTATATACTCCAAGCTCCCGCAACTATGCTCTCCACTCTTACCCAAATTCAGGAGTTGATTTGACAAAAAAGGCTGTGTACATGGATCATACGTAATTCAAATAACAAGGCTGTAGAAACACGCAAGTTTATTTTTTTCTTACGTATGCCAAATTTTTCAGGAGCCCAAAGTCTGCTAGCCACAATTTCAGGAGTTCGTTCGTCTAGTTTTGCTGTTCCTCCCAGTTAAAGGAGCGCAGATCCCAGCGGTTTACTACATGGTCCGTAGTTTATAATACGTAACAAAAACGATGTGTACATCATAATTCAAAAACCAAACGACGTGTTGGAGAAGGTAACAAGGCCAAACACTTGCACTACCTCGAAAACACGTGGATATGAACGTAAGCCAGCCTACGAACCCTCGTGAAGTCACAACTAAAACAAAAATCCATACTCTCAAAAGTTTCAAACTCTGTCAGATGGCGTGACGACACTCGAGTGTGCATTTTATAATGACAACATTTTGTCCACACAAAAAAACCCCAATGAATAATAAACACACCAAGAACGGCGCTTTAAACTCCCGTGTGCGGGACGAGAGGCATAACCGAGGCGAGAAGAAGAACCGTGCACAGTGGCAGCATTTGCGCTATGACTCGCCTCCTCCGCTAAAGTTGTTAACGGACGCCGCTCCGCGGGTTCGCCTGCGGGAATCGACGCCGCTCTCCCGGTAGGGACGCCCAGGCAAACCGTGGGGGTGGGGGAGAACCCCGAGGCTCGAGTAGGCCGCGCCGGACAATTTCACTGAACTTGGTTGGGGGGGGGAGGGCACAGCGGCACCTCGACGCTAACGACTTTCCTCTTTCAAACTCGGCTACGTCTCGGCAACACGCAGCAACTCCCTAGCACCTAACTGATCAGCGACTGTTCGAGTTTGTGTTTTTATTCGAATACAAATTCCCTTCGATTGCATCTTAAATCATGCGTTACGCGTCGCACTGCGATTACCGCACCACCGCACGACGATTATTTGGGAACCGGGTTCCTCTCTCCAGCACGAACTACAGAACATTACCACGTCAATAACTCGTAATTAATTGTAAATGTAATAATAACCATAATAATACCATCGCTTGCCTTGCGTTGGCGGGAGCCCCGTGCATACGGCCGGAGCAGCCGCGGCGCGATCCCGTTATGGGACTGGGAATGGCACCGCCTCCCAGAGAGCACGATACCAAAGTGCACCCAAAAATCCAGACAACACGCCCATCGGCATCTTCACAAGGTGCACCCCAGAGGTCCACACGGCACGCCCATCGGCATGCTCACAAGGTGCACACCAACCGCCATTCGCCACTAATAATTGCATAAATTAGCATAATTTACGATAATTACGCATTTTCCCAATCTTCATTTAAACATTTTTCCTCAATATTCTTAGGTTTTTTCGGTAAAGTCACATGACTTTACTGAAAAAACCTAAGAATATGAATCCTTGCAGTCACGAAAGCTTCAAATCTAGAATTTTTCCTCAATCTTCATTTAATTTTTATATACAACAGCGGTGACGTCTCCACGGCGCTTGTGCCAGACTATGTGCACGTTAAGGCCACGTGAAGTGTCGAACGCCCGCTGGCAGGAGGTCACGAGACAGACCCAGCAGGTGCCATGGGTCGACTGACTGAGATGACTGACCGATGCACCACCTGTGCCCGCTACTGTGCCACAACTTGCTGTGTTTTAGCCACCCGGCGCTCCGCTCGTTGTTGTGAGCGTCGCTCCTCTGCCCTCCGCTGTTGCTGTAGGGCGACTGCCTCCGACTGCCCAGTAGCGTCCTTCACGAGCCTCCTCTTGACACCTCTGGTACCAGTTATCGGCAAGTCCACTCAGCTCCACATCCTCCTGTACCACATCACTTAATCCCTTCTCTAGCCCGTGCCGTGCCTGTTTAGGCATACGTTGGCTGGGCATGCGGGCTACTTGACCCAGCCAACTTAGCCTTGCCTGCTGTAGGAGCTCACCGATGGGACTTTGTCCAGATCTGTCATGGAGTTGTGAGTTGCTGACACAATCCAGCCTCGTTAAACCTAGGATGGATCTTAGGCAGGCCAACCTAAATATTTCGAACAGGCGAAGATGTTCCATTAGGGGGGTCCACGGTTTGCAAGCACAGAGAAGAGATGGCATGACCGTGGCCGAAAAGACCCGAAGCTTCGTGTGGAGCGACAGACACAGCGTTACGCAGCTGATGAAAAGATAATGCCGCTCGACTGATTCGGAGTGAAACCTCTGCTGTAAAACCGGAGCCGGTTATGAGCACACTATCCAGGTATGGAAAACTCTCCACTCTCTCCCCAACTGCCCCATCACCAATTGGGAGTTGTGGGTGGAGTGTCTGATGGCACAAACTATCCAAGCAGGTGCTGAGTTTTGGTGGGGTTGCTGGTAAGGCCTCACCTCTTAGTGGCATGCTCCAGGTTCAACAGCAGCGCCTCTAACTCCTCTGAGTGAGTAGCAATCACCAGATCATCAGCATACATAACATGGTGAACCAATAGGGAGCCATCCCTTGACCACCAGATGGAAATTTCTCCAGTACAGCTATCGAAGACTTCACGAACTACGTGGTCGAAATAAATGTTAAATAATGTGGGAGCCAGTGGACAACCCTGTCGCACCCCAAGGTGAACATGGAATGGCTCCGACTCCCGGCCATGTAGTTTTACCCGGGATCTGCCCACCATCATGAAGGTCCTTTCTTCATGATTGTAAGGAGAGTCAGGGATTCCGAAAGCACGAAGAACAACCCAGAGCCCAGGCCTACTGATGGCATCATAGGCCTTGACCAGGTCAATAAAGCATCGATGTAGTCCTATTGGAATTCCCTACACCTCTGCTGTAGCAAACGGGCAGAAAATATATTATCTGTGCAGGACCGCCCTTTCCTAATACCACATTGAGGCTCCGCAAGCCTCTCCTCAGCGTGGCTGGAAAGGCAACGTGGAATAATCCTTTTCAGGACCTTTCCCGGCACACTGAGCAGGGAGATGCCCCTGTAGTTGTTACAGTCTGTGCGGTCCCCCTTCTTAAAGAGGTGGTCCCCCTTCTTAAAGAGGGGGACCACCAGGGCATCCTTCCAATTCTGCGGAACCCGTCCACTGGTCTGAGACTCTGGATCGCCTTCTGTTCTTCCTCAACAGATGGCACTTCAGCCAGCCACTCACAGAGGGTGATTACTTCTTCAATCACACACCCACCAGCAAGTTCACAAAGTGCACCCAAAATGCAGAATGATAAGCGGACTGGTCGATTTACAAGGAGCACTCAAGAAGCAATGGCCGGAAAACCCGGAGATGCGCCCAAACTCGAGCGGTGTAAAGATTCATCATCTCCACCCCCTCCCCTGCAAATCCCAGGCGATTCAATGGAATGCCACGATTCAAGATCACACATCAATTAAGTGACCAATTAATTCCATGCCTCCTTTTCACCATCTCGTTTGTATTTCTCTCATTTTTTCTTTCTCATTTATACAGTTTGTTTGTTGCCTTAGCCTAAAAGTAAAATTGCCATTGCATTCCCATATACTTTCAATGAATAGAAAAAAAACATGTATTTTTACAAGCATGATTCAATGTATGTATTAAGATTAAATGCAAATCTATTTTCAATTGGAGATATATAAGGTATATACATACAAAGCAGTTGAACATGTTCAACGGCATATTACGTTTGTATGTATGTGTGCATGTAGTTGAACTTGATTTGCACCGTATGTAGCCAACCGTGTGGGAACATAGTATAATGATTGGTTGATGTCACTGTAGTTGACAATATGTTACCTTGTTAAATCCATTATCTCCATATCGGGCAAAACTGCAGTATCACAAATAATGTTTTACAATATAGCACATTGCAGTATGTATTTTTGTTTGGTTTTCACTTTGACACTAGCACATAAGACATGGTCACGAGGTCTTGTGATGGATCAATCTGCATTGTGAAAATGTTTGGTTGACTGATGGTCATTCGCCTTTCCAGCTACAGAAAAGTGCCGTCCAGTATTAAGATAAGAAAAATGCCGTACAGTATTGGCTTATAATACGTTTAGATAATTGATTCAGAGCTGAATATAAAAATGCTCCGTTTGTTATAGTATGATCAACTGTTTAAAATGTATTACAGTACATACATGACATAATTTGCAAAGACATTTGTGTGTTCATTCCCATATCCCAAGTTAAACACTTCTACGGTCTAGAAAAATACAGACTGACTCTATTTAAGTAAACAGTAGGTCTCATAAACAAGCAGATACTACATCTCAATGTGTTTGCAACTGTGTAAAAGAAGTGTATTTTATTGGCCGCATTCACTCAACTCTGAACTATTTGCTTAAGTCACCCCCTTGTGGAGTTTTCAGGTATCCACCCTGTACAGAGGGTGGTGCAGATGTCCTCCATCCAAAACGTAATATTTTAAAAGTAAGGTTTATTTAAAAGAGAAGTGAATATGCAAAGGGAAACAATATTCGGGGTCAAATAATTGGGGGTTACAAAACGTCTGAACCACCCTGTACAGTACTCGGCTGTAGTTTAAAAGGTTAGAAATATTACAGCATTGACAACGTTATGAGTATATGAAATTGTGAACAGCTTTTACACGGTGTGTCATCAATAATCCCAAATACATTATGAAAATATTAAATAAACGATGTGGTTATTAATTATGGGGTTTATACTAATAAACCCTATTGTTACACCTTTGTCTCACTCGTGCTGATATTTACACATCGCACGAAGGTAATCAAGGCTGAGTTGATCTAGGGGGTTCCCAGGACCTGTGCATATATTCGTCACCGACCTTAGCTGTGAGCCGGAATCGAACTTGGATCGCCCCAGACCACACCGCATAATAACCACTCAATGTCGAACGCACTAATCACTACAGAGCACGCAATACACTATAGACCAAACAAAGATCCCTCGTATAGTCTTAACAGACTGTAGGGGCAAGTGCTGTTAGCGAGCATCTATAAAGGCCGGCACGGCACACGAGGGGGTGGGTGGCCAACACCACGCCCGACCGCCTTTGCCTCCCTAGCGGCTATGTTTACACATCGCACCAGGTACTCATTTGAGGCTGAGTCGACCTAGGAGAGGCCCAGGACCGGTTCAGATAATCGTCACTGGTGTTCGCCGTGAGTGGCAATCGAACCCTGGTCGCCAGGTTCGTAACGCAGCGCACTAACCGCTACACTACCGCTCCCCACCAAACAGCACACTATAGAACACATTACACACGCACATATCACGCCACTCACTATAGACCACACTCAACTCGATGCAGACTGCTCACGATAGGCTACACAATGTATTCACTATAGACATAAATGTCGAGGAGGTCCAATTTTCTGCGATACAATGTGCCTTGGTGCGTCATTCATTTTAGGGTTGCGGAATTGCTTTCTGAGATTTCAGATCTCAATTCTGCAGATCGATTCCAAGCTCAAAATCTATGGCACCTGGAATCGATGTGTTGTTGCCTTTTCAGCTCGAGGCGTCTCGTTTCTGTTACGTGGGATGTCGTTGCATCACTGTGGTCTAATGCATAGAATCACATTGCATCTGTGCCGCGTTTATTATGACTGCAGTAACTGTCAGATTTAATTTCACACTGTGGTTGGAAAACATGCGTGCCAATATTCAGGAAGTTGACAAAGATAGCATGATTAAAATTCCAATGGAATTATCGTACACAAACTTACATTACATACTGTTTCATTTCCAGGTTTGTGTTTTATAATATATTACGGGAATTATACAAATGAATAAATATCGGATTCCGTAACGCTTTCCGGGCTATTTAATTACTCCATTACTCGCAGTGATATTACAGGACACAACGGGAAAACATGACGTGGCATGTTTACCGAGGACAATTATTGGAGACGAGCCGGGGCCGCGAAGATGAAAGAGACAGATGAGCGCAGTTTCGAGTGATTTTGGAAAACGGAACTTTCGTGTTTGCGCTGGACGTGTGCTCGACGTGTGCAAAGGAAGTCTCGATTTTATTAATGGGATCTCAATCGTATCCCAAGAGACACCAAACCTGCCAAATTTCGTTGGGATCCATAATTTCTCCTTCACGCTAAGAACGATGCAAAAATGTCACTTTAGCTAAAAAGTGCCATTACACCCATAATTGTACCTGCATGGCACGTGCAGATATAACA